TAGGTAATGGGGGATTTCCTAATTTCAAATATTCACAGAAAGATGTCCAGATGGTTGTGATTCTTGTGACTAGAACAGGTGCTATAACCAAATATTATATATTTAATATTTTACTACTAAATTACTTAATAATGATGACCTTAATTAAGAATGGTTGAAGGATAATTAGCTTATGTAAAATTATAAAAGAACAATAGGAGGTATTTTCATAATTTATAATAGATTATGAAATTTATGAATTAACGACTAGCGATTCTACTAAAACAATATAGCTACCAGCTCATAATGCCGTTAGCGTATCAATGAAGCTAATAACTTTCAATTAATATCACTAATTTGATATATTAATTGATGATCAGTTAGTAGTTATTTCAAATCGTTATCTGTAAGTATCTTATGATACTAGTTATTATATTCATTCATATTTAATCATAGCTCTGATTAATATCCAATAATATCCACATAAACAAAATTCAATTACTGTAAAAATAAAGAAGAAATCGTCTACAGTATATAATTCAGCATATTCATTTGCAGCTGGAATTAGAGATTTTTAATTATTTATTACACCAAGTTTAAACGACTGCTTTGATAACAATATCTATCCTTTTGATGGGTGCTTTGCCGAGATTTATGATTGTGTTGAAGGTTGTGCAAACTGTGTAAGAAGTGTTTGTTTGGAATGCTAGCTAGGATGGCAATATTATGAATAAAATAAGAATTGTTTACCGATATGTGGTGATTCTATCATAACTTATTTTGAAGAATGTGATGATGGTAACACATATCCATATGACGGATGCCATTAATGTAAATACTCTTGTTAACAAGATTGTTTAATCTGTTAATTTGGGTATTGTTTGAAATGGAAAACATCTTACTAAGACCTTGAGAATACTGTTTACAGTAAAAATTTTATTTTAAAACTACCAATTACACAAAAAGTTTTAAATCACATTTAGTGTTAATATTTGTATGATTCATTAGAATGCCATGAATATATAAATTAGTTGGCATGGCTATTTTTAAGTTGTAATTCTTAGTATAAGATGAATGAAAAGAAAAAAACAATTCGTAAGAAGAAATGTGGAGATTTAATTATTACATGCGATGAGGAGTGTGATGATGGCAATCAAGTAGAGCATGATGGTTGTCATTTGTGCAAATATTCATGTCCATTGAATTGTAGTGAATGCCAATTTGGAGAATGTAAATAATGTTTACCAAAATACGAACTAATATATGGACTGTGTAAATATATTTGTGATGGTTCTGAGAGTTAGGAAGATTAAGAAAATAGAAGTTGTTATCACAGAATAACCAATTTGATTGAGAATGGCCATTACTAACATAATCTCTTTAATAACCAAAATTCTAAATATAAATTAACAATTCCTCTAACTTGCAGCCATAAAGAATTTGGGATATTTGGATATTTTTATAATTAATGTAGAATAGCAGAGATAAAAAATTGTAAGGAAAGTATTTATAATTAATGTCTATAATGTGATGATAATTATGTATTGGAATATAATAGATTGGCATGTACTCCAATTTGTAATGATGGGCTTGTAATAGAAAAAGAAGTATGTGACGACTAGAACAACATCTAATTTGATGGATGCTACAAATGCTAATAAAGTTGCTTATTGGAATGCTTAAATTGTGTTGAAAATAAATGTTATTAGTGTTTTGATGGTTGGCAGCTTATAGATTATGGGTGTTATCAATATTGTGGAGACGGCTAAGTAGCTAAATCTTCTATGGAACAATGCGATGATGGAAATGATGATATTGGAGACGGATGTTATTAATGTAAATTTGAGTGCGTTCCATATTGCAGATCCTGTGCTGATAGACATACTTGTTTGGTTTGTGAAAAATACTTTGAATTATCTAACAATTCTTGTAAACCAATTTGTGGAGACGATAATATTGTAGATGGATTAGAGGAATGCGAAGATGGAAATGATATTCCTTATGATGGATGTTTTAATTGTATGTTTTAGTGTGAAAAATTATGCCAAAAATGTCGTTAAGGATCATGCATAGAGTGCATAGATGGGTATATAATTGAAAAGGATTACTGTGAAGTTTATAATTAAACAGTTATTATCGATGATGATGAGGATGAAGTTGTCTAAAATTAATGTGCTGATGCTAAATATTCCAATAATGAAGAATGTGATGATGGGAACAAAATTGATGGTGATGGTTGTTCTAGCTCATGTCAGATTGAACCTTATTGGTTTTGTAATAATTACCCAAATTAACCTAGTATTTGTTCTCCTAACACTATTCTAAAATTATAATACCTTAATCAAACTTAATAAATTTAATACATTTAATTATACTTTTCAAATAAAGTTAAGTTAAATGAAACTATTTTAAATTTTACTGATAAAATTAAAACATCTATCCCTTCAATTGAACAAGACGCATATTCTATTACTATAATTCCTGTAGTTGAAATTGATTAGACTGTTCTACTTGATGTTAGCTATGAAATTTAAATTCAATTCTTAGAATCTATTACAGCAACAAATATTGTCTTAGCTGCCGAAATCGATGCTAATTTAGAAGACCAAAACCAAATGATGGTTAATACCTCAATCTAAACTATCAATTTACAATTACCCAAAATCTTGAACAAAAATTAGCTGGAAACTGCCAATAATTTTTAAGCTCTTGGTACTTATATGATGATTGGATTAGCTAGCAGTAGTGTCTTTTTATTCTTCTTTGGAAATCCTAGTCAATGTTTAGAAATTTTGGATACTTTACAATTTTAATCATATCTGAAATTCGTAAATGTTGAATTTCCATAAAATATTCAAATATATTTTGAATCTTCAGAATTTGTAACTGTTAGTCCTATTTTGGTAAAGTTACAAGTGCATGATTTTTTATAATAATTAATTGGATATGAATAGTTAGACAGTATAGGAAAATTTTTTTAATATAAATTAAACGCTAGATTTATTAGTTAATACTTCATG